CCCCACACACACACACACACACACACACACACACACACACACACACACACCGGTCTCTAAAAGAGATTTTTTGCGTGGGTCTCATCGGAAATTAAATTAATCAACGCAACACTCACGTGATGTATCATGTTGTGTCAAAAAGATAAAAATTAAACCACTAACCACCATTTATATTACATATGTAGTGGTTGTCATTGAAACTAACCTTAAAAGTGATCCAAGCTCCGACCTTTTTGGTTGCCAAGGTGAGCAGAAAAAAAATTGGCAACCCTGTTTGCAAGGAGGGTCGCCGATTCGCGCGATGTGTGTCAGGCGCTCGTGAAAAAAGCTGTAATAACGTTCTATAACTTGAAGTTGATAGTCTATAGTAAAAGTGAGATTAGCAGTACGTGAGATAAAAATTTGAAGTCGCTAAATGTCGTTCTTGGGAATACCTGATCTTGGAGCCCTGCGAGGTTAATGATTATGGCCAAAGTGGAAAACTGCTGTGATCACGAACCTCTCTATAATAACAAGTATCATTAAAGGTGGCAAGTTTTGAAGAAACTGTGATGCTGCGTCGGTGGGAGTAACACGGTAATTTGGTTTTATCAACTGGATAATGAAAGCTGACGTTTCGAGCGGTGGCCAATTCAAATATCAACTTAGTTGATAAAAGCAAATAACAATAACAAGCAGTCATCCTCAATAATGACGAGAGGTTAAAAGTTCTTGAGTGGCCGCTTGAGGTAATAGAAATTTCGCTGTCACATTTTGTTTAGTTCAGTCATTACACTGCGCAGAATCATTCCATTTAAATGAATGTGCATGAACCATTTAACAGCAGTGTAACTTAGTGAGGCATCACATTAAAGTGGTAGTTTAAACGCGTCTTAATAACTAACAGAAGGCTTTTTCCCACGCTCTAAATAAATAGAAATTCATTCAAATAAATAAGAAAAAGTAAAAGATTGGAAAGACATTGACAAGACTTCGAAGAGGTACGTTGACTGAATTTTTCTCGTTAGTATCAGTCAGCAGATTTCAAATTGCACTGAAAGTGTCCTCCATTGCTCTGAGCGATAAATTCGTAGTTTGAAACTGGCAATGTTATACTGGCTCTCCAGTTTTTTTCTTATTCACTCTTTTCTTCTACACAATATGCTTGTGATCGTCTGTGTAAGTTGTCGTTATCATTGTACTTTATGGCCGGTCTGCTGTATATTTTTGTTGTTGTTGTTGTTTTTTTTCATTTGTTTTTTTATCAAAAAGACCGCATCAAACGAATCTTCGCCATATTCGGGATATGCGTCTTTTTTAAGCGGGAATAAAGTGACAGGCTGTCACATATTTTTTTTTCCTTCTCATTATTCCTCTCGGTTTCTTTTTTTCTTTTTTATTTAACAGGGCTAAAGAATATGGCAACCAGGAACTTTATATTGCTTTGTGTCTTCCTTTCCAGTTTCTGGTTCATCTGTGGCAGACCATTGGAAGATCAAGGTACAGTACTTTTAGAGTTTTAGACCACAATAAACAGAAGTATGAAATATATAAAAGGCGCATTAAAAATGAACAGCCAGCTATTACCGCATTACGTACTGCCGTCCGTGTTTCATCTTTGTTCTCTTTATTTATTTATTTTAATTTTTCTTCTTGAAAATTCTGTTACTTTTGTTCCAGTATTACATTTATTACTTAAAATGATTGCAATTTGTTTTTACCTAAGTAGCAGTTATTTCTGGCTTTACTTTGCCTGTTTGTTTGTTTTTGTTTGTTTGTTTGTTACGAGTTTGTTTTTCTGCGCTTGACTGAGGCAGTTTGCTCGCTTTTTATTTGACCTTTCACTGGCCCTTTCTCACATGGGCTTTGGTTATAAGACACTCAGTCAAAGTATACTCTGACATTTTCTCTACCTAAGCCAAGCTATAATTTGCTTCGTCTTTGATATCTGTTTGACAGCGCGTCATTGAAAATCGTACTGCGTATCGACTTGAAGGGAAAGTATCATGAGCTGCGCGTGAAGTTTCGGGTCTTAATTGCATTTCCCTTAAAAACAGGTGCTCTGGTTCAGACAGAAATGGACGACGGATTGACGAGTAGAGAAGTCGCTATCGCTCAAGGTCACCGCTTTAACAAGCCCGTAAAGAAGTCTTTCACTTACGGCACAGGGTATGGTCATTACCCCAATCCTGATGATTATGAAGATCTGGAGACGTCGCAATACCTCACTGATCTCGAGCAGTTTTACAACTATTGGTTTGGAGGTTAACTCACTGCCACTTAGAAATTATCTTTTAATTGACGTATTAATCACGTAAAGGTCCAACTCTGTTTAGGTTCGTTATAACGTCCGCGTAGCAGCAGAGAAAAAAAGGCTGACATAGGTTTGGCCTTCAATAAATTATTGCATGTAACATGTAACATGTTTTTGCTAAACGTTGGCATGAAATAAACTCTTTCTTTCTACGTTCGAGAGGTTGTTTATGTTACTTTTGTACCTGGCCCACCTTAAAACGGGAATTTTAAAGGAGCTTAAATGGTTACGGCTGTAAGATCCCTGAAACATCAGTTTTTCTTTTTTAACGTTGTTTCGATTCGTCGAAGAATGTTGTTATAATTTTTCATCGCGCATACATGTGAAATGTGAAAATGCGAAATGTTGCAGTTTTTTGGTATTAGTTTTTAAAGTTGAAATTGATCTAGTTTTCTCAGTTAGTTTTGTTTCGCCCGTGAAGGCCGTTGTAGTCCGTAATGACAGTTAAATTCGCGTCCAGAGCAACTAAAATAACCCAGCAACAAATGCGAGTGTTCTCTATCCACTTCATTCTTTTTTCCCTGGCTGTATTTTTAAGGTTTTGTGTTTGTAACTTTCTGTTTTAGTTTAGCCGTTTGAATTGTAGCGTTTACGGCGACCAAAATCTAAATTCTCAAGTTCAAGAGCGTGTCGCTCCAAAACGCGGTTAACGAGGTGTTTGGGACTATTTTACTGATCGAAATGACAAACCAAAGTTGACTGTTTGCACGAATCTTTATTCTTGAAAGGCAATCGACCACGAACCACAATCAATGACGAAAATAACGATTATTCTCACAGTCAATCAATCTATCGAACGATCGATCGTAAACTGAAACAACAATA